TGGTCTCAGACTTGAATTTGAGATCCGGTCGGTAGATTTATTACGGGAAGCGAGGATCAATAGTTGCATAGTTGCCAGTAGCAAAAGAACTGAGTTTTACGATACGGAGACCGAGGACAATGGGATCCAGACAATCAGAGCGACACTTTGTGATTTGTAGCAAGGGTATTATTGTGGAGGTCATAGTATCTGGATCAATTTCATCGTAGGTGTGGCGTGGCTAGAGCCCCATAGGCCCTGGATTGACTTAGTCGCAGACGTTACGTGTCACGCTCTTCTCACCGACCGGGTTTTTGATGAGCCATGAAGCCGCGTCTACACGAGTAGATAAGTGCTCTAGTGCTGACATGGGGAGCGACAACGTTGATGTAAAGCATAGTACTGTCCGAAGTTGTCAGCAAACTTAACATCCATGATCCAGCAGCGAGGTTTACCCTATTAGGACGAGAACAACCCCTGAGCTAATTTGAGCTGATAGAACGCAGTTGAGCCGTACGAGACAGAAGCAGACATCTTTAAGCTGCTGGCCACAAAAGATGCTGTAGACAGCATCTTTCTTTTTACAGAAGTATTTGTATCATTGGGGATCGATCCGGGTACTTACATCTAATTTACAAAAGTGTTATCGACGCAAGTTCCAGGCTCTGTCCCTATTGTTTCTATTATCGCGAATTAAAGTTGCGGGCTCACATCAGACTCCAGTGAGGAAAAGGAATGATAAGTCGCGAGTAATACCGCCAGGTGCTGATGCTGTGAATAAAGGATCATTCATATGATGGAGTGAATATGCAGCAGAGTCAGCAACACCGAATGAAATGCCTACCGAGCAAAGCATCGCAACAACGCATCACAGTTTCTTTGCAATCAGTCGTAACACTTGTGAAACCTGCAACTGGTCATTTAAGAGAACGTGAGTCGTTTGGGGAATTATTGTACGAATAACTTGGAGAGAAATTAAGACAGTGATGTCACCCATAAATTATCAATATTAAGGGATAAGAGCTAAGCTCATTATCAATCACAGATGAATTTGTCAATGGGGACACTAAGTATCATGTAGGAGTGGATCAGCTATCCTGCAGATCATATATTTGTTTTAAAGGTTTTGTCATTAGTAATAGTCAGGGAAAATTAAGTTAAACAAAATTGTTACAATTGACAGTTACGTACAGTCACTAAGCTTTAGTGCAAAATGCTCTTCTTTGTCCATGAGCATTGTGATCTTTAAATAGTCGAGCATTGAGTAATTTTCCTTCATTATTTCTCCGTGTGTGTTCTTCATCGAATCCTTGAATGGTAGCATAATGTAAGCATCGCGGAGCGAAGCGACTCCTTCACTTCCATTAAGCTGGGACACAGTATCAATAGTGATAACACGGTTTTGGTATGAGCCCTGGTGAAGATCGATAAAAAATGGCACACGCTTGCCGGTGGAGACCTTAATCTCCGGATCACTCTTGAGCGAGCTCTGGTAAAGGTATTGGTTGGAATGTTGTGCTTCAGACATTGTTGGGATTCTATATGGCATGAAAATTTACTTTCTTAAAAATAATTATTATGGAACTCGTCAAGCCTATCACATCTGATTGCCTAGCGTATTGGGGTTCATTTTGATGATATGATTGAGACAAACGGATTGCAAAGCCGCTTTCGAAGAAAGGATCATATCTGGTTATACTTAGACCGCCTCATCTTATTGTCGGACACGGGACGGCTGTTCATGACGGAGAATATTTTGATAGCATGGCAGAAGCGGCTCCTACTAAGTATAGGGTCGGGCAGTAATAAAATGATATCAAGGACCACAAACGTATGTGACTTGATATCTCAGCTGCTGACAGCATGGCGAACGTTTGAGTGCGTTTACTGTTGCTGCCGCGTTACGTTTGGCGATTACTGTGATCCATTTTGTATGATTTGGCTCTATTCTAATCAGCACAAAAGACCTGATGTATCTAAAACATGGAAGATTTTAATTTGTCAAAACTGTATTCAACATATTCCAGGGAATATAGCAATGATGTATCGCCAATTGACGATTTCCAGCAATGTTCCAGCCCCCAAGCTGACCAAAGCTCTAAGACAGGCAAGCTAAACTTACTGCAAATCAACTCAAGGGTTCAGGCTCTTTATCCATTTCCACCCTGCTTCGTATGAGAAAGCGCTAAAGGCTCGCAAGGCAGGTCGTGGTGTTAGACTTGATAAACCAGGCATGAGATCAAGAAAGGTTTGAAGCGAGCCTAAGGAGGATCCATTCGAAGTAAAATCAATTTTGGGTTGTCGAAAGCGCTCGAATTTGTTAATGATAGTGGTTTGCTCAGCAAGTGGCTGGATGCCGCCGTACCAACTCTTGCGACAGCGTCTGGAGCCTCTCAAGCAGCAATCCCAGCAGCTAAAAAGTCATTGACAGGAGTTGGACTATACGACTCTGACAGCGATGAAGAGAAAGAAGGAGGGCGTGTATCTTTAAGAAGGCAGAAAAAAGTGCTCTATTTTACGCTAATCAAAAAGATATCCTAACAAGTGCGGTCGATGCGGGAGAGAAGTATCTACTATCGAAAGCAACCAAACCGGAACATGAAACCATTATCAAGTCAGTGCGAGTTGAGGTGAAGAGACGTTGTGGTGTGGGAGTTTTAAGGCAGTCCAGAAATGAGAGCTAAGATGGCCGTTTTGCGTGCTAAACGTCGTGGTGGCATTTTTCGATTATGAGAGCTAAATAAAAAAATTAAGCCATTTGACTTTCTTGTTTTTTGGACGATCAAAAGCACGATCGAGACTGAATTGTCGCGAAGCTTAACCTTTGTGTCGAACTGACTATAAGCTGAGATCGTGATTGATGTGCGTGATTCGTTTATGCAGTTAATCGAGGCATACTGACTTGGTTTGCATGAAATGAGCTGACCGACCTGAACATCACCACGATCAAACGCGCTAAATGTATCACCACAAGCTACATACTCGTTCTTAATTAGATCACAACGAACGATATAAGAAGATGTAGGATGGATCTGAGGATGTTTATTCCTGAGCTGAGCACTTGAAAACGTTGCAGGCGCTGAAGGATACCTACCAGTAGTCAAACCCACTACTTTACCAAAAGCGGCGTTATTGATGACGATGCGAGGGAAACGCGTTGATGCTGACAAATCAGTACCGCCTGACGAATAAAAACCACTTGTCGGTCGTGTCCAAGTTTCACCAGCCGTAGGAGTGTCGTGTCGTTGGAGTAGCGCTAAAATCGAATTTAGCAGCATAATATACGATGTCTTCCGTTAGTTGAATGTATCTTTATGTGCTGTTGTATCCGTCTTAGACAAGGTTAATGGAATCGAGTCTAACAAGCGAAGCGCTCATGATTTATGTATATTGATTCACTCAATCTATTCCCAAATTATTGCTCAATATCGATCGGCCTATCGAAGTTATATCTGATTTGACCTTTGGCTGAATCCACGAACAGCATCAGTCCTTTGCGCTCCGTGGCTTTATTGTAGTAATAGACGAATGGTCGTTCATCAACGCCATTGATGTTAGAATCCTTTACAATCATCTGGAAATCTCGCTTCGAAATCGCTTTTAGAATCGCTACGTACTCTGAGTTTAACCGAATCATCTCATCAGTGGCAAAGTAGCTGTGGCTTAGAGTTATGGTTGTGACTTTAAAGTGTCGCCCACGTGTATAGTAATGAGAGAAGATATTCTTCTAAAGTAGTTTATCATTGCTCAAGTCATTGATGATATAAAAGCTCCGGTTTGTTAGAGCTTAATGGGGTATGAAGCACTTGTTCTACTTTAGGAGGGCTAGGTAAGTCAGCAAATGTGATGAATCCTTCCAACTTTTCCCGGAGATACTCATAAAGCTCCTGATGGGGATTACGAGCAAAACAGTAAGATGAGCAAATACGTGAGGAGAATGCTTGAGAGTAAACCTACAAAGACTGTTCTTTCCGGAAATGTTTGGACCGAGCACCACCATTCTATACAAAGCTTTCATATTTAATGCGAAGATATCACGAAGACTTAAATTATTTCGGAATCGAAGCCCCAAAGCCAGGAATAGCTCTCATGACTAAAATCGTTTGATCTATATAGGATTAAACAAAATGAGTTCTGGTTTTTCATATCCATAGCCTACATTTCAGTCATTCATTCATATTCCTTCATTCTATCTTTCGTTAGACTCGAGTGGTTATCTAACATACGATTATGCGCAGACACTATTTTTGAGCAAGGATGATTACAGGATGGGCTACCTTAGCGGAGAGATAGCGGGAACTCTTCGTACAGCGAAGCTTTGATCCTAGCTTCGTCCGGCAAAATCAGCAGGATGAATAGCTTTGGAGTTTCTACTATTACTGGGACGTTACAAACCGGATTCCAACCCAAACAAACGTCTCTTGGCTCTTTATCATGTCTTACGATCGGTGGAAATTTATCGTTCAGTGGATCATCGCGCTCGATATCAATAACAGGAACTTCAAGCTACATCGATTGTCGAGAATATTGCCAGAACGTGACTATATACGATTTGGGACATAAATAGAGTAAGTTTTGGTACCGCAAAGCCAAATATTTTCTTATTATTCGACTCAAGCTCGAGTATCGGAGGCCTAAGCTCGGCAACGGCTACTACTCAGACCTGCACGAACTTTCGCTAGGACTCGACGTACTATGACCTAATAAGTTCTTTGACATATATCTCAACTTCTCTCTCGCTCAACAATCTGTCAACGAGTGAGGATATCAGGTGCTACAGCGTTATTAATGGGGGTTTTAGCGTATGGAAACCAATCAGCTATAACAACAGTAGGACCGCTGACAGAGCTTGGGATCAACTCTACAGCGAGAAATGAATATTTCTCGATCACTGGTAGTGGATTGAACTTTCTTGATGGTTCTTATACACGAATGATGACTCTAACCGGGTCGAATACCACCCCTGTTTAATTCCAGATTTAAGTCCATAATGGCAATCGATCAACCACAGCGAACGCGTCATGGATCGGGAAGATCACAATCAACGACCTCAGATTCGGGGTCAACAACTCGACGTCGATGATTCAAATATTACAGGTCGTCGTGGTGCTTTTCAGCTCCGCTGCACGTCCCTAGCAGCAACAGTTTTGTATTTGGAGCAGGCGGGACGACAGTGTATCGCCTCAGAACAGATAGTAGAGCTAAGAATCCGCTCTTGGCCCGATCACATATGTAGTAGCGGTTATATTCGGAGGATACATTGCCTGTACAGCCATGGCGATGACGAGCAACCGTAGATTGAAGAGTGGTGTCCGCTCGAACGCATCAAACGACTCTGCGATTATTGTGATGTAGTTTTGTATGACTGGATCGAATCAGAATATAGACCTTGTCAAGATGTGGGCCTCATAGCTCAAGACCTTGTCTAAGCCCCACCAAACCGATTTAAATAGTGTTTTCTATCGCGAT